GTGTCCTGTGATATATTCTGTGAATTTTGGTATTAATTCAAGAATTTTTCTATCGTTTTAACGCTATATTTAGAATACATTTATTATTGAATTCTGTATTTCTTTTAATGAAAATAAATAATGATATATAAAGAGAATCGAGAAATGAATTAAATCTCTTCAATAAAACAATATTTAAAAAACAATTCTAAAAATATACATAAAATTCCTATAATAATTATAATAATCATATGAATCGCTATTTTCAGGCATTTTGGCTCAAGAGTTGATTTGATTTCGTTTCATAATATAATTTTTGAAATTCATTAAACTTTTTAGAATTTTTTGTAAAAAACACTGAATATATTAAAATATAAAATACAATAAAAATAAAAACTATTGAAAAATGAAATTATAAAAAACAGAAACAAATGAACAAAATTTGGTAATAGACAGAGAAAAAGTGGAAACGATATTAAATGGTAATTATATAATCGACTAATCAATGGAATCATCTCTTCTTTTTGCCTAATATATTGAAATTATCGAAAAAACTATCGTTCGGTTCTTGAGGTGTGGGCCTGACTGGTGGCAACTGAACACCTTTGATAATATCGGCGGCCTTTTCGGCGATCATAATAATGGGAGCGTTAGTATTGCCTGAGACTAACTTTGGCATAATAGAGCCGTCCACTACTCGCAGACCTTTGATACCTCCCAACACTCTAAGCTCGGGGTCGACCACTGCTGTCGGATCCCAAGGCGGACCCATTTTGGCGGTACCCACCGGATGGTAGATCGTGGCCGTGTAGGTGCGCGCCACACACGCCAAGTACTCGTCGCTCCACATCTTGTATACCTCACACCCGGGAAACACTGTTGTGAACAATTGGGAGTTCATTGCCTGATAAGGAGGCGTCAGACCCACGGCTATCGATATCTTCATCGCGTCCACCATTGAGAGGATGTCGTCCGGATGTGTCAGATATTTGGGATCAATTATGGGCGGATCGTATGGATTGCTTGAGCGAAGTTTGATGTAACCGATACTCTTGGGCCGGAGAAGCACCGGATACATACTGAACGTGTCGTACGGAAGGTAAGGCACATACACTTTCTCCCACATCTCGCGCGTGAATCCCTGGACGCGCCGGAATGTCTGTCCGTCGTCGCTGGTCGGCCCCCCATTCAACATATGGATCTCAAAGTCCGGGTAGTCGTCCGTCTGATTGGCATACTTTGTCTTTATAAAGCCCAGTCCCTCAACACCTCCTAACGTAGTCATCGGACCTGAAAATCAAGTTATTGTAAACAATTGAGATGTCGTGAAGAAAAAAATTGAGTATCAAAACAATGTTAAGAAAATAAGTTAGTTTTTTAGGTGTAAATCATTTTTTCCAATTGTTGTTAAACAACAACAAAACAATCATTTAATGTGTTTTATTGTAAATATAATTTCTGTGCTTTTTATTTACTACAGTAGACATTTGATTTTGACAGAATTTGGTTATATATTTTATATTTATATTCGTTTTGTTAGCCTCATCAAGCAATATTAGTATTTTAAAAGTACCCAATTTTAACAGAACTCGATTTTAACAGAACTCGATTTTAACAGAACTCGATTTTAACACACAATTTTAACAGCACCGAAAAAGTGTCAAAATCGAATGTCTACTGTATTTATTTCTCTTTTGATGCATTTTTAAGGAAATAATTTTTTCTTTGAAAGACATGTTATTTGTAAGAAATTTGCAAAATTAAAGTCAAAGTCATTCTTCAATTTTCTGAGACACAGTTTACGCTATTTTTAATTAAATTTTATGTCTGGATTATGCATACAGTATGCATACTATTTGCCTTAAATGTTCAATATTACCGGCAATAGTTTCACAATAATAGTTACTATTATTTAAATAAACTAAACTAATATTGCAGTAAAAGTAAATATACTAATATTAATAAGTAAGAAAACACATGTAATAATTACATTGATTTTGAATATTTGTCATTATACTAAATAATAGCCATATTATATAATGATATAATAAGCGGTTGTTTCTATTGAATACCCTTCAAATTAATATAATGTATCGATTGTGTGCTATTAAGCAAACAATTTGTTCAAATGTTTGCAAACAAGTCTATTGAGAAAACTAACAATCATTGAGAACTGTTTGNACTAATATTAATAAGTAAGAAAACACATGTAATAATTACATTGATTTTGAATATTTGTCATTATACTAAATAATAGCCATATTATATAATGATATAATAAGCGGTTGTTTCTATTGAATACCCTTCAAATTAATATAATGTATCGATTGTGTGCTATTAAGCAAACAATTTGTTCAAATGTTTGCAAACAAGTCTATTGAGAAAACTAACAATCATTGAGAACTGTTTGCCCTCTTAAAGACCTGTATTCAAGCATTTTATAGAAAACTCAATACAATTCAATAGAGAATGCAATTCATATGAATTGAACAAATCAGCAAAAAAAGAAGAAGAAGAAATCCTTTGTTTTTATATTTACACATTGATATAAATCATAGTAACTATTATTAAGTATTAATTAAGTAATAAATAAAGTAAACTAATAAATTAAGCAAATATTTTACCTCTTCCAGAAGAAAAGTACGAAATAATGTTAGGAATGGAAACAATTCGTCTCTGAATTAATGAATATTTGCCATCGATGTGGAAGTGAATACCTCCCGGATATATGTGATCCTGAAGATTGAGACCGACCGGGAGGTCAGCCAATAGGGGAATCCCGAGTTCGGCCAAATGGTCTTTAGGGCCGATACCCGACAGTATTAAGAGTTGCACCGAATTGATAGAACCGGCAGATAATATAACTTCTTTCTTGGCGTACACCACATGAGTGAGTGAGAAGCGGTCAAACTGGACGGCCTGTGCTCTCTTGAATTCATTAAATATGATTTTTGTCACGTAAGCGAATGTCACGACATGGAGGTTAGGCCGGTCTCTGGCGCTCTGTAGGAAAGCCTTTGAGGTCGAACACCGGGCGCCCCGTCTGATAGTGCCCTGAGGTATGGCGAACCCGGCATTTGTCGGTCCATTTAGATCTATATTAGGATATCCTAAGTGTTTACCCGCTTCGGGAAATGCGGTGGCAATGGGACTCGCGTCGGGTGGACTCGACACTGTCAAGTGACCGCCCACTCCGTGATAACCTATACATCAAATTAATTACAATTTTTAATATTATCTTAAAATAAACTTCTTATTAAATTATTCTTAATAAACTTCAATATATACTTCAAAATCTAGTTCTTTTGTTATGTTCGAAAACAATATACAATTGTTTTAAAATTTAAAAATAATTAACAAATACTGAAATCGATAGCTTAAAGCGAAATATAGTAGAAAAGAAACTTTTTTGTGTTCTCTATTGATGAGTGATTTAGGAAATAACAAAAATGTTTTGTATTTAGCGTTTCTCTCGTTTGCTTTACAAACGCTTTGAAAATCATGTAATACTGGTATGCGATGAGAATGTTATGACTTTTTATTTCTTATTGATTTTTCGCCCATTAATTGCTTGACTCTTCTCATCGCAAATGAAATTATATTTAGAACTCATAATGAGTTCATATAGTTTTCAAGAAATCTATAACTAAATTATTTGGGTATTTGTGTTGTTATTTGCCTCTCTCTCCCTCTCTCTCTGCCTCCCAAACAGTGTTTGTCACACTTATTAGACTTCAAATCGATTCGATGGCAACTATTATTTTTATGATGAATGTGAATGAATACAGAGTTTTATAGTGTCCTAAAAATAGAGAGTAGAGCACAAGGGCTTAACGGCAAAACTGCTGAGCGCTTCCATTCAACTCGAAATTGGATCACAAGAATCACTGATAAAACTAAACAATAGTCATAACTCTGTGGGGAGGACTGAGAGGGCATCGAATACTGTATACACTATATTTGTATCGATTAAAAAATTCACATCTCATTCAAAGTGTCCATATATTGAGAAATTCAGAAATAGACGATATGTATAGAGATGTGCGATAGAAGTGAGCGATGGGTTATCCCAATCAGGTATGAATGAAAACCGAATTCATTTTATTAGTGATCGACGCCTACATTACACAGCATTACAGGAATACATGTGCTGTTTATTAAGACGTTCCCATTCACACACATTCACATGATCTCTATTTCAATATCAATCGCTTTATAACAATCATAATTGAACGCTATTTTTGATTTCCATAAATACTCTCATTGTATATAAAAAAAAGCTTTCAAACATATCATACCATTGTATGCGATACTCGGGTCCCGATTGTCCTCTGATTTTATGAAATACGGCAGCACTTCATCCCATGACCAGCCGTACGCACCATTCTTTGCCCAGCCGTCATAATCACGACTATTGCCTCTAATATACAACATGTAATTGAGTACTGATGAGCCCCCGAGCACTCGACCTCGAGGCCAACGACTCCTCTATACAAATTAGACATAAGTTATTTGAAAATTGAATTAAAGATAATCCGATAAAATATTAATTAATTGTTTAAATTCTATCAAAAGAAAGTCTATGATGTGTAACATTCACACCATTCACTTAATGGAAAATCTTATGAAACTATAAAATAGCTTAAAGAACTAGTAATTTAAAATAAAATTGTGTTGTGAGGTGTAATTGAAAATGTTTAAGATTGCAAGTAATGTATAGAAAGTCATTAGTTGTGATATAAAGTCTTACTCGGTTAATTAGCCCAAAACATGACGCTTCTTGTGGTTCTGTCTGATAGCCCCAGTCTATTGGTGTCATCTGAAGAGTAGCCGCCGCTATGGGTATATCACTGAATAGATTCTCCGAACCGCCGGCTTCTAAAAGCAATACTTTAATCGCCGGATCCTCTGATAGCCTGTTAGCCATTACAGCGCCGGCAGACCCGCCGCCAACTGTTAATTATTAAGTGTTAAGACATATAAACATAAATAATATATAAATGAGAATAAAAAATATAGTACACAATATAAATGACATAAACATACAACAGAATTATGGGGGATATAAGGTCAGGGTTTGTTATTTTTAGATGTTTTACCACAAGTCTGTGCTATAATTATTATTAGAGAATCTGTTTGACTCTTTTGCCGCAAATTTATTTGTTTTTTTAATTTTTAAATATCTATTCTTATAGTTATTTAAAATATGGATTCGCTGTAAGAAGCAATAGACATACTATAAGCCAATACTGGTGTCAATCATTTTCTAATTTAATAATTGAACAAATGTTTTGCAAAACGTTTTTCAATTGTTTAATAAGAATTTTAATTCAAAAATATTTTTATGAGTGAATTAATTATAGACCTCTCCTATTATGACCCAAATTAAACTACAATAAAATATAACGACAAAAGTATGCGATATAATGAAAATATTAAATTCAATATTTAGTAGCGAATCGTTTAAAATGGTTTTTGTGTTAAAAACAATTTTAACATTTATTTCTATTTATTCGTGTCTTTTCTTCTCTAAACTCAATAGCGTTTTCAACAGTAGTTTTCAAAGTATTTCACAGTATTTCATGCAAAACACAAAGGATATCAAAGAGGATAACATTTATTTTATTAAACATTCCTTATCTATATTTTGGTTTTTATTCCGTGGCTACCTGAGTTTTTGGGGATAAAAAGTCCTTAACCCAGTTTTTAAATCTAGATTCTATATAAGTTATTGTATAGCCAAAGTGACGTGCCTTCATGTCCTTATTTGCATTCATTGCAAATCTAATGACCCGTTTTGAATACCTTTCTATACTTTCCTTAACTATCATTTAAAGGATCATTAATTATACAAATTATATTGAAATAACTTTTACTTTATCTAAATAAACACAAGAGATTATAAATATATACAAACAAAAATTTACCATGTTACAAATGCATTTATAATTATAAAAATTAAACGAAAATATGGTTATAATTTATAACTTATAAAAGAAATATTTTAAAAATGACAACAAAATAAACGTATAGTAAATATTTGATATGAGAAAAAGGGTAATCACTTACTGACGATATAATCATATTCCTGGTCCCAATTGTTGCGGGAAATAGAGATGGAGTGATCGGCCGCTCGTATCCATAAGAGTGTGGCCAACGTGGAATAGATATAAAACCAAAAATAAGGCACCGATGGACTCAAAAACCCCTATTTTTCAGGAATTGGGTCAAAAATTTAGATCTAAGATATATTCAATAACATATCGGTTTCACTGCACGGAAGTACAACTTATTTGCATTCATTGCAAATCTAATGACCCGTTTTGAATACCTTTCTATACTTTCCTTAAATATCATTTAAAGGATCATTAATTATACAAATTATATTGAAATAACTTTTACTTTATCTAAATAAACACGAGATTATAAATATATACAAACAAACATTTACCATGCTACAAATGCATTTATAATTATAAAAATTAAACGAAAATATAGTTATAATTTATAACTTATAAAAGAAATATTTTTAAAATGACAACAAAATAATCATATTGTAAATATTTGATATGAGAAAAAGGGTAATCACTTACTGACGATATAATCATATTCCTGGTCCCAATTGTTGCGGGAAATAGAGATGGAGTGATCGGCCGCTCGTATCCATAAGAGTGTGGCCAACGGGACGAGTGCTGGTAAGAGTGCGGGCACTATATTCGTGACCATCTTCTCAAACGATTGACACAATAAGTGATTGAAAAATTATAATGTGAGGAAAAAGTGCCAAATATAGCGACAAATACCACACATTATTCACTACTTAAGTCATTATGTGAGAGATGGGACTCACGACTCATTATTAAGACCGTCTTATCACTAGCGCTTAATTCATAGTCCGATTCGCGATTTGAATGCAATTTTCACTAAAATATTGTAATAGTAATGAAATGCATCAGAATTTTGCACAAATCTTGACTGAAAAAACCGAGTGTTTATATCTGATGGAAAACAGTAGTGAATGAGTGTTAGTGTGTTGTGTTGTGTGTGGAAAACCAGTCAGTCCTACCCTTCGGCAAAACACCTAAAGTAATCTCTATTTTATTTGTACACTAAATACAAAGGAGGAGTCAAACAATATGTTTAATGAAAAAATGCATTTTTAAAAACAACCACTTCTTCACTCTTTCTCCACAATATATGTACAGTAAGACTACAGCTATAGTCACACTCCATATGAATGGCAAGTTTTTGGGCCCATAATCGACACACATATCCGTTTATCGGTTCGTTACTCTACGTATGCCATAAGCCTTGACAATACAGTCCTTGAAGTTTTACTATAATTTTTTGCCCACAATTACTCCACATATTTGTTGAATTTATTCTTATATTAAAACTAAATAAGTATTAATATTAGTGTTTTCACTTTAAAGTGTCGGTTTTGTTACCTCATATCTCTCATGTGTCTGTCTTTGTTATTTCAAATCAACATTTTTGCCATTTTTCTTAATTTAAGATTTTAAACCATACGTGACTTTTACACCGGAGATCCGCTCTCTGCTAATAAATTTACTCATTTCTCAAAGTTTTTGGCAAATATTTAATTCCTTGCCTTTACTCGACTCATAACAAAGTAAGACAACATAATAGTAACTAATATTGTCAATGAAATGTTCAAATTACACACAACCAGACATTTTCAATAAACGTAAAACTATTTTTAAAACAAAAGATATACATACATTATAGATATACATGTATTTATGATTTGTACATATTTTAAGATCAAAATTAAAATTTTTTATTTAGAGTCAAAACGTTTTCTCAATTATTGTCTAAATGAAAATATAATTAAATATTTGTAACTATATTTTGATTTAATATATTTTTATTTCAATAAAACATATTACATAAGATCTGTAGTATTAGAATAGAAATATTAACTGGAAAACGAAAATATAATAATTTTCATCGAAAATATTTTCAATTTTCAGTTTATTAATGTTTTTCATTTGCAAATTCTTAGAAAATAATACATAAATTGACAAAAAAAAATAAAACAAAAATCAAATTTTATACAAAAATGACATTTTAAATAATTTTCTCTACGAATCCATTCAAAACATTTTATTTATTATTGAATACATTTTTCCGAAAAGTGTTTTTCAAAGTCATTCAATGACTAAAATAAGTTTTTGTGACTCTTTTTATTCAAATAAATATTTAAATTGTTTTCAAATCTGTTTACGCGTTGAGTATATAATAACGGTATTGAAAAGGTTTCCAACGAATTTTACCCGAATTGATATTTACCCGGATTTACCTGAAAGACAAACATTGAATATTAAAACAGATATATTATTCATTATATTTTTTAATTATATTGCGATATTCACAAACGGTTCCGGTTTTATATAAATACATTGTCTTTAGCTGATTAGTGATGACTTTATATAAGACATATTTACCAATATATATTCTTCAATACTATGCGGCAAAGTCTATGCCTATATTTACTTTACATTTATTATATTAAAATCTTTTAAAATATTTTACTCGATATTATAAAAACATTTTATATAAAACAAAAAATGGTAAACTTTACACAAGAGCTTTGTTTGTAAGGTTTCCACTTGTTTTCTATTGATACAAGTATAATATATACAGTGTATTGCTTTTATTTTATAAACATTTTTATTATTAAAGCACAATCCAAAAATACAAACTATTATTTTAATGTTTAAAACTATACGAATTTTTCATTCTTGAAAAACATTAACAGAAAACAACACTAAAATTCAAGCTATTTTAAATTACACGAACAAAGATATGATTTTAACTTGGATATTTCAACATTGTATATTTAATTAAATTTTATGTAAATTATTAATAATCACATACTGTATAGTAGATGTTATTTGTACATTAATAGATCATATTTATCACAAATCGTTAGTTTATTTAGATCTATGTTGTGTATTTGTTTGTTTATTGTAATTGTTTCAAGAATAATTTATCATTCCATAATCTGAATAATAATAATAGCATTTTTAATATAAATATTATTTATGAGAATGAAAATATTTAAATACTCAATGAATACATTTGTGGTCTAACTCTAACCCAAAATATCAAATTAACGTTTATATTAAAAATATTTATATATTTATAGATTAATGGTTTTGTAATGTGAGAGTAGTTTTGATTAATATTAGTGACATTAATCTGTGTGTTCAATAGAGTGAACAAATGGCTATTTAACTGTAAAACACCATAAACCCGATCCCAAATATAACACTAGTATTATATATACGATAAGCGAATAATTACATCACAAATACATGTATTGTATGTAATATTGTCTCAAAGGAATATGTGATGAGATGTACAATACATGTCATGAATGTCTAGAAAAAACTTTACCTAATATTGCACTCAAACTGTATTCATATTAGACTCAAACATATTTCCTATATTTATTTGCATTTGAAGTTAAGCCCAACTTATTAAGTGTTAATCAAATATTTCGAGTATAAAACGTGTACAAAATGCTTGATTGTTAAGCGAAGAGGTCTTAATCATTAGGTAAATGCAGTGAATAAATCATTAAATGTACAGAAAAAACACATAAAGCATTGATATAATTGTCCCGCAAAACCCAAATTAGCTCCAATTCGTGCTACCGGTGCCTAATTAAGCTCAATGAAAAAGTCAACTCATAATTTATAAATATATTTGTGTTTATATAGTAGAATGTGTAGTATTTGTGTAGTATTCTGTAGTAGTCTGTAGTAGTCTGTAGTGGCAGTCGTTATGTTAACGACACCTACGCCTGAGTATGTCATCCGCGAGCAAACCCTATCTACCTATCACTTGATATACCTATCAGTGGACTGCGTGTAGCCATATATGCCATCCCTTCTCTCGCACACTCTCTTACATGACTTTCGCTGTCTTTCCCGACACTACTTATTCTACAATCAATTATTTCATTCTTCACTCTTCTCTCATAACTCTCTATCCACTCAAATATCATACAAAACATTGTCTTTAAGTAATTTTTTAAAACAATAGATATTACTTAAAGTTAAGACAATATAGTTATAGAGAAGTTTATTTATGGAGTTTTTGGTTAAGAAAGTTGTATTTCCAAAGTATTCAAGAATTCTGTTTGCAGTTATCTTATATCTAATCATTTGTCAAATACATGTTATTAAATGCAATGATATCTACGATATCATTGGCAACAAAGAGTATGTTATATGTCTATTGTGTACTAATTTAAATGTTAATAAACAAATGGTTTACTTAATTGAATAGATTAAGAGCTGACGAACAAATCAACAAAGAATGGCTGAACCGGTTGTCAATCAGGCCGGGAATGGTTGAGTTCTCGGCCAAAAAGCCGCGATCATCACCAGTACCCGAATGGGGATCTCGTAGTAAACGAAAAGCCAGTACTAAACTGCTAACAGAATTGATTCAAGACGTGTGTCCATCAGTATCTGATTGGGTGGCCCGGTCTGAGGCACTCGACCCCTATGGAAATAAGCTGACTATAGTTCAAAGGATCCCAATTAACGGCACTGTAATCAACCAATACTTTTACGAAACATTTTGCTCCTATGATGTCGACTCTTACGGCTACGACAACCAACACTCTAACCATATGAGCCCTCAATGTCGTGGAATTGACAAAAGGGTAAGTTTTTTATTGTTGTTGTATTTATATTAAATTTATATTTAATGTTAAAAAACATGTTATAAATAATTACGTAATAACATAGAAATTGCTGTTAAATATAAAATTTATTCATGGCTTTTATGACTCAATGAAAAGTCAATCACCAAAACAAATATTTACTTAATTTTGTACATACAGTCAAATATCTATGCTGTCAACTGCTCTATGTTACCAATACCAAATTACATTCTTTGTAGACTTAATGTTAAACTTATCTCTATGTTGTTAACTAATCAATGTTATCAACCAAATCCCAAGAAGTTTCTGTTGCTAACATAGATATTTGACTGTATTATGCAAAATATGTATAAATTTTATATTATTATATAAAAAGAGAGTAGTATTATTATTTATAACAATATTAATATCATAAATGCAACTCTATTATTATGTTTGTTTTGCATATACTTATTGTCTATATATAGTGCAAATTCAGTGAAATCAAGTCATACTTGGAGTCAATTTTTAGGAAAATACTGCTTTCAATATTAAGCGGATAGATATTAAATGTACTAATTATATATAAATATAGCAATTTATATAACATTTATCATTTGAATTGTATGTGAATTACCGTAAGTTTTTCCCAATACTATCCTCTAAACTATTAACAAATATCATAATTGAGTGTCTGTTCACTCAATCGTTACCATACTTTCATATAAGGAATTCATGTATTCATAAGAGGATCCTTTCAAATGCCACGGCTTTTAAACTTTTTTAATAAAACTTATTTAATACTAATTAAAGTTTTTTTTTTATAAAAATAGAATTCATTATCTTTTAAAGAATTTTAGATAAATAGTGATAATAAATGAATTGTTTATGCTTTTAATGCATAGTTTAGTGAATATTTTATATCCTTCAGTCTTTTGATGCGAAATGAAAGTCTATTTTATGCATTACTTATCTATAAATAAGATATTAGTATATATTAAAACAAATATAATTCATTGCAATCTTTTTAATATATTTATAAAAATTGTTAAATTAACAAAAAAGACACAAAAGATTCGCTATATATTAGTATATAATAGTTTGAATGAATGAATGCTTAATACTAATTATGGTTTGTTAAACATTCAAATTTGTTTAAAACAGTCAAAAATTTGTCTAAATATTTGTTTGTAATTTTGCACATATGATTTAAATTTAATATACAGTATAACGTAAAAATTAGTAATAAAATTAAAACACTGCATTTATTTGTGATACACTTGTGTCTGATTTAATTTTAAATATTTGAATTATTTATTTGTTTTATTGAGTATTGCATAATAATAGAGTTTAATTTAGCATTTTAATTCGTAATTGGCAAATTTTTAATTTGGTAAAATTTAGCATAAATATACAAACTATACATATTACAGTTATATAAAACTATATTTTACTTTACTTTTAAATTTAGTGTTCAAATTATTATTATAACAAAACTATTAATGTTTATTTTTTATTTATTTTAAACATATTTTTATTTAAAATAAGTGAAAGTTTTATTTAAATTATGCACATAAATAAGATTAAGATTTTAAAATAGAAACTACAGTACTAGTTCAGTTTTAATAAATTATTTATAAACTAAAATAAATTTATTGTAATGTTGCAATTGTATTAATAATAAATACAATTTTGATTAACATTAAATTGAACACCCACTCTAAAATCAGCAATAAACACAAATATCATTTAGTTTCTAGCAATTGACGTAAAATTTGATATTTTCATTTTACAACTAAACCTATTCTATACGAAATTAAACCAGATAATACAATGAATATATAATAACATATAAATGCATAAATAAGACATAATATGATATGTAATTGAATATTGAATTGTCAGACGTGGAGCTCGAGGTGTAAGGAGAACCACATCTGGACGTACGGCAAAGTGATCACAAACAGCGGAGACATCGGATGGTCGGTAATAGCGATCCGGGGGTCGTGTGGGTGCGCGATATGGCCCAAAGTGAATGAGGTTATGGGTGTTGGCAGAGGACGGCGTTTGAGTCCCAATCAGCTGAATAGAGAGGACAACCACTTACTCGCCGATCCATTCTTCTAATTCATTTCGTGCTATTCCTACTAAAGCCAAAAGTCTAATACAAAATGACTCAAAATATTATTTCGGAGAAATATAAATGTGTAATAATAAGTATTTTTGTGTTAAATCTATAGTTTCAGTAATTTGTAGTAATAATTCACATAATATATAAATATATACAGAATAATATTTATTTCTTTCTATAATCAATGTCTTTAATATGAAAACCAAATATTAAACAATCAATACTTCCAATCATGTAATGTATTGTAATTTTTGTCAAAAAATCCCATTTTTGTTATGAATTGTAATTTACATTAAAAAGTTATAGAATTGATATTTTCATTAAAATCTTGGTAAAAATTAATGTACAAACATTTTCAACAAAACCGTTACATATCTACCCCATTAATTAGCTTTAAGTCTCGCTTAACTTATTATCATTTAATTAAAAAGATTTACTTGAAATTAAGTTAAGTGTGTTTAGAGTTAATACAATTCAGTTCACTAATCAATTCTATAACTTAAAAAACGAGTAGAATTTTTGACATTATTTATTAACAAAACTAAAACATTAAAATTGTTAAAAGTTTTTATTCATATGGAATTAATAAAATTTGCAGTCGATGTTTAACATTTTAAATGAAGTTTTATTTTTTATCTTAATCTTTTTCACTAAAAAATTACATTTATGTTCTATTTAATTATTATTAATAATTTATTAAATAAAACATAAATGTGATTTATAGAATCTATTTTGTATTATTTTTTATTTAATTTCAACATAGTCTTTAAAATAAATTAATAAACCACTTAAATTAAAAAGAGATTATTATTTATATAAAAATATAAAATTACAGTGAAAACTAATTAAGATAAAAGCTACACAATAATAACATATGTTTAAAAAACAATGGAATTATATTGAAATTTGTAATTACTAATTAGAAAGAATCGCCCACGTCAATTCAGTGAATAGATTCAGTGAATGTAGATTTTGTATCTTGATAAACAGGTAACTAACAAGTTACATGCATATACAACTTGTAAGTTATATGCATATTCTGGTAAAGTACGCTTTTTACCGTATTTTAATAAACTTATTGATAAAACTTAATAAAATTATTAACGCAACTTATAATAAACATAGAATTTGATGTAGGTTTTCTTTTTAATGTTTTGTCATTGTAGATAATGTTGTTTAGAAAATATTTAAAAACAAGGATCACACGCGATGCTATGCGTTAACCAAAATTCGGGAAATGCATCAAAGATTTTAAATTTTTCAATACTTAAATATTTTTAATATAAACGTTAATTTGATATTTTGGGTTAGAGTTAGACCACAAATGTATTCATTGAGTATTTAAATATTTTCATTCTCATAAATAATATTTATATTAAAAATGCTATTATTATTCAGATTATGGGATGATAAATTATTCTTGAAACAATTACAATAAACAAACAAATACACAACATATAGCTAAATAAACTAACGATTTGTGATAAATATGATCTATTAATGTACAAATAACATCTACTATACAGTATGTGATTATTAATAATTTAAATAAAATTTAATTAAAATATACAAGTTTGAAATATCCATGTTAAATTTATCATATCTTTGTTTGTGTGTAACAAAAATAGCTTAAATTTTATTGTTGTTTTCTGTTAATGTTTTTGCAAGAATGAAAAATTCGTATAGTTTTAAACATTAAAATAATAGTTTGTATTTTTGGATTGTGCTTTAATAATAAAAATGTTTATAAAATAAAAGCAATACACTGTATACTTGTATCAATATAAAACAAGTGGAAATCTTACAAACAAAGCTCTTGTGTAAAGTTTACCATTTTTTGTTTTATATAAAATGTTTTTATAATATCGAGTAAAATATTTTAAAAGATTTTAATATAATAAATGTAAAGTAAATATAGACAGACTGTATGCCGCATAGTATTGAAGAATACATGATAAATATGTCTTATATAAAGTCATCACTGATCAGCTAAAGACAATGTATTTATATAAAACCGGAACCGTTTGTGAATATCGTAATATAATTAAAAAATATAATGAATAATATATATGTTTTAATATTCAATGTTTGTCTTTCGGGTAAATCCGGGTAAAATTCGTTGGAAACCTTTTCAATACCGTTATTATATACTCAACGCGTAAACAGATTTGAAAACAATTTAAATATTTTATTGATTTGAATAAAAAGAGTCACAAAAACTTATTTTAGTCATTGAATGACTTTGAAAAACACTTTTCGGAAAAATGTATTCAATATTAAACAAAATGTTTTGAATGGATTCGTAGAGAAAATTATATAAAATGTCATTTTTGTATAAAATTTGATTTTTGTTTTATTTTTTTGCCAATTTATGTATTATTTTCTAAGAATTTGCAAATCAAAAACATTAATAAACTGGAAATTGAAAATATTTTCGATGAAAATTATTATATTTTCGTTTTTCAGTTAATATTTCTATTTTAATACTACAGATCTTATGTAATATGTTTTATTGTAATAAAAATATATTAAATCAAAATATAGTTACAAATATTTAATTAAATTTTCATTTAGACAATAATTGAGAAAAGGTTTTGACTCTAAATAAAAAATTTTATTTTTAATTTTGATTTTAAAATCTGTACAAATCATAAATATATCTTTTGTTTTAAAAATAGTTTTACGTTTATTGAAAATGTCTGGTTGTGTGTAATTTGAACATTTCATTGACAATATTAGTTACTATTATGTTGTCTTACTTTGTTATGAGTCGAGTAAAGGC